GGTTCAATGTAATTACGGTTAATCCGTTCTGAACCATATGTATTTTTTTTTTAAAACCCCAAAAATATGAAAAAAAGTACAGTAGGAGGAGGGAGAACACTAACCTTGCTCGACGCGACTTCTGGCGGGGAGGACAGGAAGGCGGGTGGGGAGGCGGATATTGCTTGGAGGGAGAGTCCCCCTCCCTACAGGAAGCCACGACCACATGTCACGGCAGGGAAAATGGCCACGGATCCTGTTCGTCACCCGATGCGGAGTTCGCGGATGGAAGCAAAGTTTTGCGAACGGTGCTGTTCGTGACCTGAATTGGTCGTGAACAGAAGCGTTTGTGACCCGAGGTACCACTGTATCCCTCCCTTCCTGCAATATATTCCTCCCTTCCTGCAATATAGCATTCACCTGTTAACAGTCTCCTCTATCTCATGTCAAAATTAAGAATGGATTCAACCAAATAAACATAGCCCTATAGCATGCTACCAGAGAGCTCAGAAAGAGTTGTAACTAGATTTTTGGTTTCTGCTCATCACTGCGAGAGCATGTTGCCCAAATTTGAAATAATTTTTTAAATAAATCATGATCTCCCAAGGAATCCTTAGTGACCTCTCACAGAACCCTAAGGTTCCACAGAACCCTGGTTGAGAAACCCTGCTCTAGCCTCTAAGATGTTCTTATCTTTGCCCAAATTGGCATTTATCAGTTTCCAGAATAATGTTGTGTCTTTAGAATCTATGACAGTCAGGAGAGAGTGCCAAATAGTCATTTGGTATATCTTCTTGTGTTTTAGAAGTTTACAATCCCTTTTCTTCCTAAGCAGTTCTGTAATAACCCATGAGGCACAACTATCTTTTGCTCTCCTTGCCAAATTCCTAACCATACAATGTGCTGTTCTACATTCCATATCAAACCAACAGCTATGTTGTTGATGATCTGAACTCAATTTAGAGGTGCCCTGCCTTAACTCTGGTTTTAAATGGTCAACCATTTGTTGACAGTGGCTCAGGATAACTGGAGAAGTTGGATCAGCATTAATCAATTTAAGTTGAATATCTGCCATTGATTGATTGATTGATTGATTGATTGAACAGGGAGTAAGACAGAGATACATGATGTTTCCTTAATGGTTTCATG